AGGGATTGTGGTAAACAAGTCTATTTAGGTAACAGCCCATGATTGCTATTAACATTACTTTGTTGAGATATTTAATAGTTACTGATATCTTTGAAATCTACTGTGAATCTGAACACATAGGGGGATTTGACACTGCACATGCTGCGGCTAGGTAAGAGTTTGAATTGTTGTCAGTCGACATTAATTCTGGGATGGAAGGATTCTGTGGTGGCTAAAATTTTGTTGAATGGGATTATAAATCCAGGGCATATGACCGTGCTGCGATTAAATTCCGTGGACTGGATGCAGACATCAATTTTAACGCCAGTGATTACGATGACGATCTTCAGCAGGTTGGTTGTGCATGCTATGTTTCGGTTTATATTTTGTTTTTTTCTTGGTGAAGAGGTTTTGAGTCTCGATATCTTTTCCTTCTTTACTCCACAGATGAAGAGTTTAGGCAAGGAAGAATTTGTGCACATACTCCGTCGTCAGAGTACGGGATTTTCCAGAGGAAGTTCGAAGTATAGGGGAGTAACGTTGCACAAATGTGGACGATGGGAAGCTCGTATGGGACAGTTTCTTGGCAAGAAGTAAGATGTCGTTAAAACTACTGAGATTTCTTTTTATGAAAACGAGCAAGAGTGATTTTCATTGTTAGCTATGTTTCCCCATGCAGATATATCTATCTTGGTTTGTTTGATAGTGAGATAGAAGCTGCAAGGTGAAAATTGACAACTTCTTCCATTCATGTTGTTTTAAATTGTCTTGAGGCAATTTTACTGATATAAATTCTGTAAATGTTGTTTAGGGCATACGACAAAGCTGCTATCAAGTGCAGTGGTAGAGAAGCAGTCACCAATTTTGATGCGAGCACATACGAAGAGGAACTGAGCACCGAGGCAGACATTGGAGGTAAAAAAAAAAATCGCCGAAGCCCGTATATTTCCTCCTAAAACATAGCCATTTCTCGTTGGGCTTTTAACGTAATGTGTGGTTTACTCGTTTTCTTCATCGGTGTTTGATAGCTCCAGCTGGTGATTACCATGATCTGGATCTAAACTTGGGCATAGCTCCACCTAATAGAGCCAATGGTCAAACTCAGAACATTGAAATGGGAAGCTTTCAAATTTACCGTGGCTCGAACAACCTGCCTGAAAATGGACCAAAGGTTCTCTACACATTGAGATATTGAGTTATATGTTATCGTATTTATGCTGTGTAGTTGTAGATTCTTGCATATGTTATCTTTTCTTAAATATCGAAAGTGATTTAGAACACTTTCACTCGCAGGGCTCTGCTTCAGCCTCTATGGAGCATTTATCACATGGACATCGAAATGTATACGAGGCTCCTCCCTCTTTTCATCCCATTTATAAGGTATTCGTTGTTACTAAATTCAGATGTTTAATATTCTGAAATATCTATTTTCTTCGGTAACAATTGTTTATTTTTTTCTTTCGACAGGGAACGGCAGAGAAGATTATGGAAGTTGATTCGCCAGCAAATTGGGGATGGAAGACGCACGACAATTTCCATGTGAATCATCCGTTACCACTCTTGTCTACTGCAGCATCATCAGGATTCGCTACTACTTCATCGTCTGGTGCTATTCACCAGTCGCCTTTTAACACAATATCCCAAACCCATTATCCGATACCACTCTCCAATTATAATAATGGATCTCATTATTGGTTCGGCTGATTAATTTGCACCACCAGATTTTCCAGAAAATATGTTTTAATTTTTTTTTTTTCTATTTTAATTCTCCAATGCTGTTGAAAAAAGATTCTACAAACTGTGATATTCACTTGGTTTGCATAGTTTCAGTGCAAAGTTCTACTCTCATGTGAAAGAATCAATGTGGATGAAGCATAGTCACATTATTATGTAACTGAAATCATTTCAATTTGTCTGCATAAATACTTGCCAGTTTTCTTGTATAATTAATCATGGTACCATGAAGTGGGGACTGCCGCAGATACATTATTATTATTTATTAATATTTTGTTTCCGTAAGAAGTAATGGTGATTGTAAATTTCCCCTGAAAAGAAGAAGAGTATTCCTAGTACTGGTGCTCGTGTTTTGTCCTTGATGAATACGGTACTGTCAGCGTTCGTTGTGGGGCTAACGAATGAGTGTTCAATGTTTTTTCAATGAACTGTGTTAGTAAGTTCCTCCACCTGCTTTTGTCATGACTCATGACTAATGAATGAGCTGTATCCCGCCGACTCCGGGTTATAAGTTTTAACCTTTGGTTTTATCTTGCAGATCACCATTTTGCTTCTATTATTCAATTTAATCCTCTCTTTTTTTTTTTAGTTACGGCCACCCCTTAGAGAATGTCAAATTACGAAAAAATCTCTTTATTTTTGGATAATTATAATCAGCCCTCAACTATGAATTTTCTTACATTTTCACATTTGCGGTATCAAATTTTAGTGGGATTTTCTAGATTATGTGTATTCTCCAGTTTGTACCTGTTTTACCGCATTCGAGCTCCACATTTCGAAACAAGATAAGCATAAGATCATTCTCTTGACTTGTAAATATCAAATTGTGGTGCATTAGAAACTGCATTTTTGCACAAAACGAGTACAAATTATTACATTCCACGAAATCTACAAGATTGCATTGAATTTGACACCGTAAAGATGAACGCGTGAAAATACCATAGTTGATGAGTGGTTATAATTACCCAAACAGGAAGAGAGTTTTCATAATTTAACCTTACATCAGAGGTGGCCGTAATTTAAACTTAATAATCTTGTATTGATAAAGGCGAAGTCGGTGAATGAATACATGAAAATTGATATAATTACATTTTTAACTACTACTACTCCAATGTTTTAGTCTCTGGTAAAATTTAAGTATCACAAGACTAATGGTATGTGGTAAAACTATATTTCCACCCCTACCTTATTATTGTCCTTATATATTTGAATATAGATGTGTACTCCAAAGTCCAAAGTCAGTGATATTAAATGACAACTCAAGTTTTGCAGTTTCAATTCAACCATAAAATAATAAGAAAAAAAAATTAATAATAAAATAAAACCATAAAATAATATAAGCTAGATAAGCCTTTTTCTTCTTTTCTTTTTGCCTTGGGTGATGAACTATTAAAGTTATGGTTGTCATCCTGTCCGAAAGGACCTAACCTTGCTTGCCTAGGTGACCTCGGCTGATTGCCAAAACTCCTTTTTAAACATGTTAATTTGATTTGACAATTCTTAACTTGTTTTTTTCTTCTTCTTTTACTTTCCTAGTTTTATGGTACAACCAACCAATACTTCATAATTAATTAATAATATGCTAAAACAATTCCCTTGAATAGTCTTTCCTTTCCCATTTTTCTGATGAGCAATAAACTTCCGATCCATCCCATCATAATACATTTGTTGGTTCCACTTCTTGCCCGTATGTTTGTATATATATAATCATTAAATTGTCCCTATTCAAATTCATTTTGGAGGAATAAGTAGAAATCATCATTAAATTTTGGATAAATTACGACAACCCTTGGAATAATGTTAAATTACGAAAAAGACCCTCATGTTTGGGTTATTGCAACCAACCCCTCAATTATGAATCTTCTTATACGTCAACCCTTATGGAATTGGTTTGGCTACTGTTACTATTGACCAACAACCGGAAGTGTCACATTCAATAGAATCTTCGTTTTGTGCAATAATGAAATTCCTCATGTTCCACAATCTGATATTTACAAGTCGAGAGACAGATTTTATGATCATCTTGTTACGAAATGTGGAGCTCGAATGGAGTAAAACGGGTACAAATAATAGAATATTCCACGTATTCTAGAAAATTCTACTAAATTTGACACCACAATGATGGATATGTAAGAAGATTAATAGTGAGAGAATGGTTATAATTATTTAAACATAGAGAATTTTTTCGTAATTTAACATTAGCCAATAGAGGGTAGTAATTTACCCTTAAATTTTGTTTATACTTTGAATGGAAACACAAAATGAGAATGCCTCTTTTGAAGTATGTATATGAGTTGTCATTTCCAACTTAACCGACCTCACAATGCAAATTGCAGCCTTTTATCTATACTTTAATATTACTTTAAATAGTATGGATCATCCATTAGTCATTCTCATTTGAGTTCATCGAAAACAACCAGTAACTAGTCATCGTTGATTTGCTATCCGAATGATAATAGTAGTGATTAATAATGTAGGGAGTAGGGGCAGGGTTTCATCCCCACTACTAAACGAGTGATTAATTTATGCTAATGCTGATTGATTTGTGGTGTTAATCCTTCAAACTAATTATGTTTGTGGTGGAAGGAAATCTATCTCACTCTTTATGTAATCGGTACTAGAATGGTTTATTATATACTATTTACACTAGTAGAAAACTAATTTTTTACTACTATTTTTTTTAACAAAAGATACTTTCAACTGTGGTTTACGGGACAATTTTGGAGTCGAAATAAATGGAAGATTTACCGTACCGAAAAACTATTTACTACTGTCATTTATCGTAGTAAAGTTTTTGTCACGTCCCTACGGGGCAAATTCGTAGAAAATGTGTAGCAAAAGCCTTTTTACTATGAATTTTGTACATTTTACTACGGTTAATTTTCGTAATAAAAAGTCATTTTCCTATTACTGATTTTATCGTATAATATTCAATTGTAGGGTCACATGGCCAAAATATATTATTTATTTTCTATTTTTCTATGAATTAGATTTAAGTGAAATATAATTATATACGCCAATTAGTAGATTTTTTTTTTTCTGGGAAAATCTCAATTATAGTAGTATTCTAGTGATGGAGTAATAACTAATAATGATCGTAATGGGCCGGCGGCCACAGCGCTAACCAATACAATCGGATAATAAATACAGCACTTTGGTCCAGTTAGCTTGTAACCAAGCCCAATTTTTTTTTTTTTTTTTTTTTTTTTTATATAATAAATGAAAATACTGTTTGAATTAATTATTTTGGGAAATTATTGAAATGGTTCGATAAACAGCAATTTTTGGAGGTTGTCTCTGTAAGGAATCTGGAGGCTGAATATGAAGGGCAAATGACAGAGAGAAGAGAGAGACGATCGATTGGGATGATTTGATTACGGCTATGAACATTTTTTGGTTTTGATTATTACCTCAATCCGCTATCTAACTAGGAGGTATGGAGTGGTAAATTCAAAATTGTCTTCTCACCTTTTCAGGTTGCTTGAATTCATTATTCGATCTGATTTTATTGTTTATGAATAACACTATACTTTGCTTTGTTCAATTACCGTTGCCTGCAGTGCGTACAGTTTGTTCACCATGGTTCTTTTTCACAAGGCATGACTCATGGTCAGGTAGGTAGGTAGGTGTCTGCTTAGGGTGTGATCATATATATTCTGCAATTTATCGTTGATTATCGTCTTGCATATTTTTGAATTACAAAATTATAGTTCATCTAATTCTTTTAAACAGAATCATAAGATACATTATGGTTAAGTAATAGAAAACATATACCAATCAGTGTATCGCTACTGCGATTTATGGTTGGAATGCACAAGGGTTAGTTCCTATCTTTCTGCTAAATAATGAATTTGATTTTTCACTCGACTCGGTGTATTTTCCATGAACTTCATTGATCTGTGTTATAGTGTTTAACTACACGATTCACGCTTGTTTAGTGGAACGTGATTGCACGTGCGTCCCTATTAATGTGTTTTTCGTATTACATTTTAAGTTTTTAGTACAACAGCAGTCCAATTCCAAATTTGGAAGTGTTGTTAGCAAATTACAGCATTGCCTATGTTGCTTACACCTCCTCTTGGAATAATGAAAATTATTTAAGCTCATTTTTACGTATTAGAATTGCTAGTCGTGTGACTTGGTGTATATGATTCTTTCTTTTGGAGGAAAGGAACTATTGTAAGTTCTTTTCGGGTGTGGAGCACCCGCTTTCGAGTAGTAAGAGTATGGTAGCGAGGTGATATATAGTCTATCAATTCATTCATACATTGAGCCTTACTAGATAAGAGAAAGCTTTATTCGCAGTTGATAAAAGAATTGCTTTCAAAAGATCTATAGCAATGAACCACATGTCCTTGTCTATTAAGGAGAAGAGACTGGCGCAGAACTATCACCGTGAGATGCGATGCGGGATGTTTTCGACGAGGGACTGGCTAGGGAGAGTGCTATGGTAATTGGTCAATAGGGCTCTGCCACATGTGAATGCCTTCTTGCATGACGATGGTGAAATGAAAAACTTCGGTTGGAAGACCCCTTATTTGCAAGGTGTGCTACATACCATTACTTGGTCTGGAAACGTGGCTTTTTGACTACTTATTTTGATTGAAGTACATACAAGATGGAAATGGCTTCAGAATCTCCATATATATCTAGAAAGGGGGAGGAGAGCAGCTAAGACAGGAAGACAGGACAGCGTACTTAGCTTCTGAATTTATCGGTGTCAGGAGGTGCTTTGTTAACAAGGTTCATAGTTGCTATTTCCCCTTATCTGTCAGTTAGAGAAAACTGAGGACCCTCGGTTCCAGACCCGCCTAGGAGGCACCAAATCTAACACACTGTTAGGTGACCTGCCATACACGACCTGAAAGCATAATTATTTTAAAATCTTTTTCGTGTATTTTAAAATCTTTTCCGGTATTAGAAGTTAGAACCTGTCGTGTTTGCTCACCATTGGACATATATCCGTTTCATCCTGTCAGAAGAGATTGCCAAAGTTCATATGATGTAACATATTTGACATTATAATTTTTGACATGTTGTATGTCAAAGCTATACGCAATTTGAGGTCTTTCTGGGGTAGCAATTCTGTTAGTCGAGATTTTATAAACCTTTGTTCTTTTGAAATTTCCTCATCATTTTATTTTCACTTTGTTTCTCTTGACGAGTACTCTTTCTGAAGTATTAATTGATCCATTTTCATAACATATGTGTCAAAATCTCGTATTAAATTACTCTTTCCGGAATATTAATTGTTTGATTTTATGTGAGAGGATGAATTTGGGAAATCGTGTATTTGCCCTTTTTCGGTTGTGATCAAAAGTCGGTAGTTAAAAGTAACAGGTTTTCTCTATGCAAATGTTATATAGTTACAGTTTTAATGTTTGAAGGAAAATTAGAGATAACCAACCACCTGAGTAAGTTGCATAGATAATTAGCTAAGGAAGGTTGATATTTAGGATCTCGATTAAGGGCAATAATTAAGGATCTCGATTTGTTCTCTCTACGCGCAAGGAATATAATAGACGGTGATTTTAATAGTTCTCTGTTCTTTTACGTGACCGGCGAGAAAATTAGTAGTCAGCTTCGTCAGTGAAGAATCGATGCAAGAAAGAAAACGAAGAAGCTTTGGAATCTTGGATAGTTCTGAAAATACGGAAACTTCTTAACTCGTTAAGAGCTTTGACGATCACTCGATTATGCAAGCGTTTTTCTTGAGGTAATTTTGATGATAAAGTTGGTAGTTTCTGAAGACACTTTATACTCTTCTTTTTTTCGTTTCCTGAATAATTTATTGGGTATCGAATCGAAATTCTTTCGATACATATTTTGGATATGTGATGCCTACTTTGGCTTTTTGGTAAATATGAGTTAATGCAATATTCCTTAATCCTTATGGATTAAATGGGGTAGAGTTGACTCTGAGAAACATACTGACTTCTCTCAAGAAAGCTGCTGCAAAGAAATCTGGAGATGGTAATGAAATTAATTCCTTTTATCGTCCTAATAATTACTCTTTGCCGATTATTAAATAATCGAATGCGAAATTACTTATTCGCCCTTCTCTGTCTCCGGTTCTGAACTAATCAAAACTATGTACATTAATAAAGCTGGTTTAATTTCTCTTTGAAAATTGTATCTCTTTTGGTATTTTGTACTACATAAATTTTAAATTAGTATATGTAATATTTAAAGAAAATTAATTCGTATTTTTAATTGCTAGGTTTATTGTTATTCATAGGATAAATATTGATGAGTCGATCCGTTATTGTATTCAGAAATTTGTCGAGTAAAAATGTAATTATGGGTCAAATAAATTAGCATTAGATTTCAGTATTCTTGAAGTTACCCAAATAAAAAGTTTTTTTATTTACTTAATATTTCCGGCTGTGTTATTAATTTTATGACATATTCCAATTTTCATGGACGTAATCTTGCAAGCAAAAAAAGAGAGAAAGTAAAATCATGCACGTGATAAATTAATTAATACGAACGGTCTTTTGTGACTATAAAAATATATAATTAGTTTTAAATAGATTATGTTTAATTTGTTTGCCAAACTTATAACGATGTTACATATTTTATATTTTTTTCGATTTCTTTTAGTAATTAAAAATATCATTGCGATTTTATGTTGCTTAAATACACCAAAGGATTTTGTCATTAACTATTTCTTACTGCTCAAAATCAAAGTAGATTGTATGAGTAATTATTTTAACTATGTAAATGGGATATATTAGTTTTTATTTGTATGATTATATTATATATGCTACTCTTGATTTTTTATTGTGCAAATTACTCTTAATATTTTTAAATGATCGAGTTAGAGATGAATCCAACGTAGTAATCCGAATTTAATACAAACTATTTTATTTTAATTTAATACATAATAGATCTCGCTATGATAAAAGAAAATTAATTGGAACAATTTTAGTAATAAATCGAGCTTGACTAATTTGATATTTAAAAATAAATAAAAATTGATTGAGCTTCAAACTCACAGAATAGAGAACCAGATTTTTTTTTTTTTTAAAACAAATTAAAGTTTGGACAAAGTTCTAATAATTTTTTCAAGTCCAATATGGACTAATTTAAATATTTCCTTACAATACTTTTCATTAAAATCAAACGACGTCGCTTTAATCGAAAATCTAACGTCGTCAGGGCAGCATCTAACTGGGCACGCCACGTGATTGAGACACGTGTCCAAGTCAAACCTCCTATATAAGATGGCTCGTATGCAATTCTCCATTTTTCACCAAAGCAGCAAAAGAAAAGCAAATTGCAAAAAGAGAAGGGGAAAATAAAAATCAATTTTCTCTATTTGCGTCCTCCTTCTTTTTACAATTGACAGAAAAACAAAAATCACAAAATACTTGTCAGTTTCAGTTCCTGCAATCACCTGAGGTGATTTTTCTCTCTCTCAAATCTAGTGATTTCTCTATCTAACATTTGTGCATTTGATGTGTGAATGAATAGATGTGTGTTTGTGTGTGTATAATAATCTGTAAATGCACGTCCGTTACATATATATATGTAGCAATAAACGCGTTGTGTGTAACTCGTTTGTATATAATTGTTCTGCTTCATGAATGATAAAGTTTTATTTATTGTTTTTCTTATAGGGTTAATTAATGCCGGAAAAAAATTGCTGTTTGTTAACGTGAATTCCGAGATTTCTAGTGCCGCTTTAGGGGAATTAACGAAAGGGGTGAGTTGTGAACTGGTTGAAGGTTTGGAATCGAAAATCGGAATGGAGGATCATAAGGGTTTGAGTGATGGGGTTAGGGTTTCGGATGAGTCCAAGGGTTTGGTTGTGGAGTCTAGCGGAGAAACTTTAATTGATGGAAGTGGAGGGAAATTCGTTGAATCTGGTAGCTTAGAAATTAATGATAAGCATGATTTAAGTAAAAATCGAGGTGTGGATGTCACGTCTCGTAAGAAGGGATGGGAGTCGTGGGGGGTTATGGATTTAGTTGGGAGAGTTTTAGATGGAAAGTTTTCAATGGATGAGGAGTTGGAAGATGTTGATGATTCCAAAAAACCGTTGGAGGAAAATCGACTTACCGACACCGACGCGTGTCAGGTTGTGATTGGAGAGCCGAAATCCGAAAACGGAATGGATGTTAAAGGAGCAGATATCGACAAAGATTCGAATAATTTGGATTCGGCTCTTCCAGGTGAGGGAAGTGGATCGACTGGAAACCACGATTTGGTAATTAATGAGACGGTGCCAGATGTAAAGATGGAAATCGAGGAAGTAAATAATGTTAGGGCTGACGTGGCGATAGCCGAAAGACATGTAGGGCAGTATATAACGGAAACTGAAGGGGAATATTACGCGTCGGATCTAGTGTGGGGCAAGGTCAGGAGCCATCCATGGTGGCCTGGGCAGATATTCGCACCCTCGGCCGCATCCGATAAGGCAACGAAATATTTCAAAAAGGAGAGTTATTTGATTGCTTATTTCGGCGACCAGACGTTTGCATGGAATGAGGGGTCAAATATCAAGCCTTTCGGGATGCATTTTTCGCAAATGGAGAAACAGAGCTCTACAGATGGATTTTGTCATGCCGTGAGCTGTGCGCTGGATGAGGTCGCTCGGCGATTTGAGCTTGGGCTATCATGCCGGTGCTTGCCTAGGGAGGTGCGTGATAAGATAGAATGTCAAGTTGTTGAAAATGCTGGCATACGAAACGAATCAAGCACAAGATCTGGTGGGGACAAGTTATCCAGTGCCGCCTCATTTGTGCCAGGAGAGCTTTTGGGGTTTCTAGAATCGGTTGCTGTGCGCCCACAGTGCAAAACTGATGGACTGCAATTAACTGTGGAGAAAGCTCAACTGCTGGCTTTCAATAGATGGAAGGGTTATTATCAGCTCCCCGTTCTAGAAGCGTGTGGTGGGTTGTTGGAGGATAATGTGGAGGGGAGAGGAGTGGAATCAATGGAAGTGATGGATGGTCAAAGGAGTAAGTCAACTGCTCCCGGTGGTTCTTCTAAGAAACGTAAACGCCTTTCAGGTGATGAAAAGTGGCCAAAGTTAAAAGAGAAACGCTTATCTGTCTTGATGTCTTCAGATAGCTCGAGTTTACAGAATGACGAGAAGAAACCCGGAATGACTCGCAAGAAGGCCATCTTGTATCCTGTACCGAACAATTCAAGAGTCAAAAGACAGAAGAATATGGTGCCAGCTAAGCCCCTTGGTAATTCTCGAGGAGTGGAAATGATTCCTGCGGAGATCCCTAATGCTGATGTGGTTCTTTCGAAGCTAATTGTGGCTGCAATGAATCCCATGGAAGGGCACGGTATCATTAGTCCTGAACTTGGCTTCCTTCGTCAGCTTCGGAATTTTACTTGTCTTGAATTGTCGGGAGATGCAAAGATAGATTCTGGGAAGCAGCTATTCAATTTGGAGGCTACAAATACATCTGCATTTGATGGTGCTGAGGACTCGTACTGGACAGATAGAATAGTTCAAAACTATTCTCAAGATCAGGTGCTGTTTCAACCGGAGAAACCTAATAAGATGGCTATTCAAGTAGAGGGCAATACTAGTGCAGTTATAAACGCAAACGAGGGCAAAGAAAGCGATGCTGCTATTGTGGATTCGGGTGCACAAAACCCAACTGCTCCAGTGAACGAAGAAGTTGCAGATGAACATTATCCAACTGCTTTGATTCTCAACTTCAATAATTTGAACTCCATTCCGCCCATTGAGAATCTGAACCGGATATTCAGCCCTTACGGGCCTTTGCGAGAGTCAGAAACTCGGGTGTTGAGCAAGAGCAAGCGCGCAAAGGTGATATTCAAGAGGCGAGAAGATGCGGATTCTGCTTTCAGCGCTCCTGGAAAATACGAAGTCTTTGGACCATCCCTCATCAGTTATAGCCTCAAATATGTCAAATCTAGTGCAACCTCGAAGCGCAACAAGAAGGGCGAGTCTTCGACAGTGAATGCTGTCTGAATTTGGTGAGGATTGGTTGGTGTACTCTTAACTTATTTATGTTCTTATAGAATTTAATAGTTCTTATTTTATACATTGTTGGAAGAGCCTTGCATATAGGGAGAGCTTTAAGTTGACATGTTGTTACATTTAAGTGCATATAGGGCAGACTCAGTAATCTTTCTCTTTCCATGAAACTACATATTTGGGATTTACATTGTGATGGATGAGATTATTGTTTTAGAAACTACATCTTTGGATTTACATTGCGATGGATTAGATTATTGTTTTAATTCTTAATTAACTGTTTTGAACTGTTGCTTGATTGGTCGACGATAATTGTTTGATAGTTACATATTTGGACATTGGTTCTAGTCTTGGTGCATTGTTATATATCATTGATTGAATGCTGAATGTTTGATGTAGTTAATATAACAGATGAATCGGTATTTCTTTTCGCTCTTTTGTACTCAAATTGAGATGGTTTTTTGCATGTCTGTATTACTTTATCATTTTACGTGCATGAGTATGGAGTAACGTCGGAAGATGAAACCTATTTTTTATTTCCTGTTTTCCTTGTCATAAATGTAATTACTAGGTAGCATTTGTTTTGTCATTTATATTATTTTCATGAGAACTCCGTTCTCGTGAATTAGTATTAGACACCTTTTGTTGGCATGCCTGCATGAGTTATCGAAAAAGAGAACCCGAGGCATTGCTCAATTTTATGTTTCGCATACTGGTGAATGCTCTGCATAAATCTGAATATTTTGTGCTCGAAGTTTTCAATCGTTGTATCATCACGTGCAACAATTTATTATTTTCATTTTTCAGTTCAGTTTATTCAAATTGTTGAGTCTTATTCGAATTTCCAATTTTTAAGATTTTTTCCTAAATGGTTAGTCTTGTTCGAGTTTCTAAAATCAATTTCTAAAAAGATTAGATTTTTTCCTAAATTGTTGAGTCTTATTCGAATTTCGAACCGTTCGATCTCCACCCCTAGCATCGAATGATTGGTATTAAAATTACCTGAAGATGAATGGCCCCATTGGATGAACCTATTAAAGTCATTCTTTATTTGGGATACCTAAATAAAGGTGTGTGCAACAAGCAGATGCTATTAATAAACAACTTATTTAGATTGATAATCATTTGGTGTGATCAAGTGTAACATCTAAAAGACTTTCGCATATATATATTTATTTTCTCATTTTTCTTTCTTCTTATTGGAAATCCAGGATTTGAATTGATTTGTTTTCAATTTTCATCGACTCTTCCTTAATTTCATCGATTTATCTTATAAATTATAATTCGATGGAATTTAGTTATTGCATAGGAAAATATATATTGATTATCGTCGTTGAATGGTTAAAACGTCCTATTCGTAATTGGCAAATTCTTAGCCCCAGGTCCCCAACATTCTGGTAGAGTGACATATAAAATAGGGTCGACAATGTAAAATCCTCTAAACTATGGACTTTTTGCACTTTACTCCCTGAATAGAAAAGAGTCGCATAGACATACCTGAAATCTATTATCTGCACCACCGATGCTAAAGTTGTCTATTTATGGGCAAGATTGAACGGAATCCAAATCACGTGCATTCCACGTGAACATAGCTGGGGTAAATTAGTCTTTTCCTCCTACACCCCAACTCTACTCACGTGGAATGCACATGATTTGGATTCCGTCTAATTTTGGCAAAAAATAGACAATTTAGGGTGTAAAGTGCAAAAATGTTCAAAATTCAGGGGGGGTTATTTTGTTCAACCTATTAAATATGTAGAACTTATACACATGTATGATAAAATATAATGGGTTGAATTTTACCCAATAGATTAAAACAAACTATGAAGAATTATTTAATTTTCATAAATTTTATTTAAGCATGTGGATTTTAGTTCTACACCCAAAGTTTTGACTTTTTGCCAATTGCACCCCGTCCACTTTCGGTAAAATTTAAACTCTACCCTAATTTGATTTTAGTTTCCATCTATTGCCACCCAAACACACCCTGCTTTTTTATTTTCAACTTATTTTAATTTTCAGAAAACCGCCTCTTCTGCAGTTCAAAATAATTCTTTTGCGCTCTCTCTCTCTCACACACATACGCGCACACACACTACTATCTTTTGCATTGCTCACAGCCTCTCACTCGAAATTGCGAATCAGGATCTTGAAGGAACTACGCAGACGAAGATCGAGATCCGATTTTGCGATTAATCGGAGAAAATTGAGATGGAGGGGTGCCAAAATATTGATCTCGAAATCGAAGGCCATGCTCTCATAGACGATAATCAGTTTTCAGGTTCTCAATTTTAATATTTTTTTTAATGTATTTCTCTATATATATGCGCGTGCATACAAATCTGTAGAATTGTTTGGAGAATTGTCCGTAGGTATCTAAGTATATAGTGACCCGGAGATGAAACCTATGTCCGTGCAGTTAGGTTTTTTTAATTTGTTCAAAACAAAAAAAATCGATTGGGGTTTGGACTGAATTTTTTTTTTTTTGGGGAATTAGTTAATGTTCGAAGTTAAAATATTGATCAATTGTCTTAGGGCACTGAGTAGTTCTGTCCAAATTGAATTTCTCTGAGGAATTATTACAAAAAGCAAATGAGATTATGATGATTTGTGACCTCATTTGTTGTTTCAAAGTCCGCTTAAGGCACACATCATCGGCAGTTGTATTCAATTGTTTTAGTGGCACATAATTTGTGTTTTCATTCTGTTGCTTGAAATTATTTTCAGAAAACCAGGCAGGATTCAGTAATTGTGAGTTGGCAGGAGGACTGAGTTCTGATAAAGACTTTGATATTAGTCTCGGCATGGATGCGGATGACCGATTGCCCGAACTGAATGAATCAATCGAGCCTCAAAGAAACCAAAAAAATGGAAGATATAATTTACGTAAAAGTCTAGCATGGGACAGTGCATTCTTCACTAGTGCAGGTATTCTGGCCTTGCATTATGTTTTGATAGGAAATTCTCTTTTTCTAGCTAATACATGAATGGTATTTTTCTTGACGTTAGGTGTACTAGATGCAGAAGAATTGTCAAGCATGATTACTGGATCTGAAAAGAGCGAAAAGCACTTATTACCTGGAATTCAAGAAGACATTACAGAGTCAACTGAGTCAATCTCTACTCTTGGAAGTGATAATTTAACCCTGGAAACTTTTGATGATGACTTGTTTGTAGACATCAGAGCTTCCATCCAAAGATCCAGTAAAAAGAAATCCAATTTCACAAACTCAAGCATTAATACAGCAGCTATGGGGTTAGACAGCACATCCATTTCATGTAAGCAGGCACATTTTATCCCAAGTCAGATAAATAAACTTTGTTTCCACTGGTATATGATGTGGACATTTGTTTCTGTTCACCTGGTGTCAATTAGAAAATCTCTTTCTGTTTAGTCCGTGTATCATTAGGTTATTTCTGTTTCTTATACAAGCTTTTCCTTGCACTTAGTGTCAAGCTAATTGCAGGGGAAAAAATGCTTAGAGAAAGTAAGAAACCAACTTATTCAGTTTAGTAGATACATTATATGAAATACTGTTCTTGTTGCCCATTGCAATTAATCCAAGGTGATCACCAAATACTATTCAGTGGCTGGGGACATTTCCAGTATGTAAATATGAATTTGCAGCATTAAGTTAGCCATTGAAACCCGAATGCTCGTGCATTGTGAGTTTGCTAAGATATACACGGAATAAAATGTTTAAAGTAATGGACCATTACGTAAATATGTTCATGTTTAGGTCGTCTAAGTACATGCATGACTAAGCACACTGTTAACATATTTGCTCAAAGGTAATACAAAAATAGATTTGAGTTCCCACTTGATATCTGTTTCTCCTGTCCATGGCTTCTTCTGGAAGAAATGTGACCTCTGCATGTAATCAATTTTTTCTATCAACTTGTTTATGTCTTAGACATTTTTTGCATATCTTGAACTAATATTGTATTCATACACAGCTCTGAAGAAGGAAGATGCTGTTTCCCAAAATAAGGTGAGTTTGCTCATGAAAAGATTATATTTTGGTTTGTTTTATTGTCTGCTGACTCTAATTCCAATTATGCAGAATCCGAAACCGGGTCTAAATAAAACCAGCAATCTGCAAACTCTTCGGACATCAAAATGTCAGCCTAAACAAAATATTGGGAAGCTAGAATCAGGGAAAGCATCCAAGCAGGATTCTGGTCATTCACAGGTGATACATAGACTTTCCTCTCATTTGAAACAATTTAAGCTATTGCATAGTGGATAAAGTGAGGATTTATCGTTTATGTACATTCTCCATCATTCGTCAGTTCAAACTTTGATGGAAAACTTTGCCTCTAGTTTTTCTTGCTTTTCTGTGTGTTGTTCCTTTTTGAATCATAATCAAATGTTTGCTTACCGGTATTGTTTACATTTGGGTCACGTAAAAGTTCAGTAAGGCCTCTCATAATTGTGTTTCCTGAATTACTAGGGTCTATGTACAATCTTCAGATTTTATTGACTTATGATTTGGGCTCTTAGAGTGAGTGATTTACTGTGAGAATAAACTTTAAAGACATTTTATTAAGTCTCTTTTGAAATATAAGATACAAATGCAATTATGAGTTCAATGAAATAATTGTTCGTGTGTAAATGTTGTGATTTGGTAATGGGTTTGTTAATTGTTATTATCATGATAACTGATACAAGTCATTTTTTTAAGATGAAATCTATTGCTAAGGTTGGAGAGACAAAATCGATACTTCCTAAGGCACCCAAAACTGCTACTAGCAGCTCTATCTCATCTTCCCCAACAGCAGCAAAACGGGATTCCATGGCTGGACGTGTCAAATCTGAATATGGAAGCACAAAATCTGGTGCTGCTAGTTACTTTACAAATCGTTATTTTTCCTTCAAGAATTTGTGTCTTAGACAGTCTCTAATGCTATTATTATAAATTGACAGCAACTGTTTCCAGTAAAGGGACTCAGCCACCAAAAGTATCTGTTTTAAGTGGTACTAGAAAGGCGCTGCCAAAGCCTGCAATGTCACCAAAGTGTTCTATGTTGGGTTCTTCAACTACAAGTAGAGTGCTCTCAACGAGGTCCTCTACATCTAGTGACAGTTCTAGTAATATGTCTTCTGGAACCCCTGCTAAATCTACACTTACAGCAAGAAGAAATCCAGGCAAAATTGGCAATGTTAGTAATGGTCCCTCCGGTTCGATTCCTAAAACTCCATCCAGAGGTGCAGTGAAGAATAAATTGCCATCATCTGGTCTTTCAGCTTATCTGACGTCTGCTAAGATATCCTCAAGCGTCTCACCTGCTAGTTCAATTAGTGAGTGGTCTTCAGTATCGTCTTCATCATCTTCAATGATCAACCAGAGATCTAATAACTCGAGGACCAGTTTAGATACCAGTTCATGTAGGTCTATGGATGGTGATATTGTTCGTTTGGATCCAAAAATCCATTCAACTGATCGAACAGCCAATGGACACGGAAATCAGGGAGTCGTTTTACCAAGTAACAATTTAAAGAAATCCTCAGCACAAACTGGTATCCTTCACCCTCCTACGAAACCATCAGGTCTACGATTGCCATCCCCAAAAATTGGGTTCTTTGATGGGGTTAGTTTTGGACCTTTCTCATTTTGTTAATATTAAAATTTCAGTAATGAACGGTCATGGTGGTTTGTAACGAGACCAACCATTTGATACATGATTTCTTTTAAATAACTATTTTATTGTATAAGGTTATTCTAACAAAGTGTGACGTTTCATTAGATAATATTGAGGATTCACTTTCTGGAGGTTACAACTTATGAGCCATATTGCTAACCTATTATATTTTTGCAGGTGAAGTCATCTGGTCGCACTCCTAATGGACAACAGCAGTCTCAATCTGGCTTGCCTCCCAAGAACAGTGCTGCTGCATCCATTCAAAATCGAAACTCAAACAGCAAACTGAAGAGTGCTAAGGTTCCAACAGCTAGAATGGTGACTTCTTTGTCAAGCATAAAGCCTGATTCTCCAAAGGCCACATCTCCTGCATCCTTCCAAGAAAAAGCACACGCTTTAGTAAATTCTCCCCACTTGTCTCTTGGAGTTAATGGTACTGAAACTGGAGAATCTTGTCAAAAGGCAGAGAAAGTTATGGTTGAAGGCGGAGTTAAGCAAGTGATGGATGCTGATACAGGTTTCGTATTCAAAGAGAATTTAAGTGAGTTGAATATGTTTAACAATATGGGGTCTGGGGATATTAAGACCGTTTCTGTCGAAGGGAGCAATGCTTCAGTTTCAGTACTGGTTAACCAGGACCATATTGAGAAGAATCCTCATCTAAATTCCGATGGTAATGACAAGGAAAATGGTCATGCCCCAATTCGTGAACTTATAATCGATACATCAGAATGCGCACTCTCTTTTCCTGCAATTGTCTCTGAGTCTGCAGCCTGCAGAGCCCCTTTTGCTCCTATGAATTTTCCCCGTAGTAATGACTGCATTGATATGCCTAAAGATTTGGCCGCCCAGGTTGTTGTTGCAGATAAGACAGTTTTTGCATTGCCATCTCTTGAGCAGAAAGAGAATAATAGCTAAATCAGCCATCAATTGGTTTCTTTTCGAGGTACACATAACATTACTCATGAATATCATCTAGTAAATCTGTTATGGTCTTATGGCTACAGTTTATGTTGAATGTTTTCTGCCCCTTATCCCCAATCCCTTCACGTAGGAGAAAAAAAAAAAGACAATAAGCTGGTCTCGTTTATACTATGAATTGCATATCGATACTCTTTCATTTACTTATTTGTTTATTTTTGTCTGCAGTCATGGATCTGGAGTTGATATTGTCATCTGATGCCTGGAAGAAGCAAACTGCAGAGCTATCAATTGAAACTTGTGTGTATGTTTTACCAAAAGTGGGATGTCTTGTGGATTTGAGTACTTGAACAAGATAAGTCATTTTCGGAGTGAAGGCCGTCGACCGGATGTTTGTTGCTATTGTTATTGCATTAGTAATGCTTGCAGGAAGATGTATGATTGTAAACCAGGACTGTGTTTTATTGGAACTGTATTTTAAAAGTTGCACATGGACTTTATAATTGTTCGTTCAGTATATAAATTCTACTTTATAGTATTTTATAATTGAAACATGTCTGCAATTTTACGATAGATAAGTTACTATTTGCTTGGTAGATCGATAAATATTAATCTTACTGAAAAAATAAAAATTCTATCACTACATTTTTTATAGCTACTGCTGAAGCATATGTGTATGTTTTCTTTTGCTCAATTTGATTAAGAACATTTACTTTTATCCTCTAATTTTTGATCAAAAGATTCTTTGTAGCACGTGTTTTAGGTGTACCCTGTTCTTTGTAGGTGTGTGTTCTAGATGTACTGTGTTTTAGGTGTACTGTGCGTTTCAGGTGTACTGCGTGTTTTGGTGTACTGCGCGTTTTGGTGTGTGTTTTAGGTGTACTGTGTATTTCGGTGTATTAGGTGCATTGTGTGTTTCGGTGCGTGTTTTAGGTGCACTGTGTATTGGTGTGTGTTTTAGGTGTACTGTGTTTCAAAAGTACTGTGTTTTGGTGTGTGTTTTAGGTGTACTGTGTGTTTTGGTGTGTGTTTTAGGTGTACTGTGTGTATTAGGTGTACTGTGTGTTTTGGTGTGTGTTTGAGGTGTACTGTGTGTTTTGGTGTGTGTTTGAGGTGTACTGTGTGTTTGAGGTGTACTGCGTGTTTTGGTGTGTGATTAAGATGCACTGCGTGTTTTAGGTTCACTGCGTGTTTCGTTGTGTGCTTTAGGTGCATTGTGCGTTTTCGGAAGTACTACGTGTTTTTGTGTGTTTTCGGAAGTACTACGTGTTTTTTTGTGTGTTTTAGGTGTCCTGAGTTTTTCGTGGCATAATTGGGCTTCTTGGCCCATTTTATTTTAAATAATTGCATCACGTATTTAAAAAACCTGTCGTAAGACTGCGGTTCAAAGTGGGCTACACCACACATGGGAGAAATAATTAACATCTATAAATTAATAGAGGGGACTTGCAAAATTTTATTAATTTAGCTAATCATTTAATCGAAACAAGCTAATCGAAATTCTATAAATTAATAGAGTGGGAACTTCGGAAATAATTAACATCTATAAACAAGTTTACTGTGGAGAGACCAATCACAGAAGCAAAAACTAAATTACTAAACAAGCAGAATTACAAACGTCTATTTAATCATACAATATATAATTATACACACAAACATACTCCTATCAAACATAACTAATCATGAAAGAAGCAGAGCCTTAAACTATTCAAGCCTAAAAACCTCATCCAATAAAATATCAAGTTTTTATCATCTGTCAAATGGTCATAGGCACACATACATATGCAAGAGATGGATCTGAAAACCAAATAAAATTTTCAAAAAAACAAATACAAAATTTTAACAACTAATCAAGCACATTCTTAACAGAGAAATACATGCAAACTCCTATCAAATAGAACTAATCAGGAAATAAGAAAGTGGACCATCAACTTCGCCAAGCATATAAACTTCAAACCGATAAAGTATCAAGACTTTTAAGCGTCTGTCCATGGTCTAAGGCATACATACGCAAGAGACAGGATTCGATATCTTAAAGGGGTAAAAGGAAATAAGATGGTTCACAAAATAAAATCCAAAATTTTAACAATTCATCAAAACTGAAGCGGAGGGACTTGTCAGAAAGAAATTAGAGACCTAAGATCTAGGCTTTTCCTTCTTCTCCTTGAAGAGGGCAAGGAGTGAAACACCAGAAACTTTCACCACCTTAAATCTAACACCGGGAATATCTCCGACGGCATGCCCCTTACGCCCAAATCCAGCAATCAAAACTTCGTCCTGTACAAATAGGAAAAAAAGGGTTGAGAATTCGAGAAACAAAGAAAAATAAAATACGAAATAACGGCCATCAAATTGATGCAAGGAACTCACATTTTCTTCAATATAATTTAAACAACCATCATTAGGAACGAAAGCAGCAATCTTCTTTCCATTCTTAATGAGCTGGACCCTAGCACACTTACGGATGGCAGAGTTGGGCTGTTTCGCTTCAATGCCTCTGTAAATATCAACATATATTTGTCAGTTACATGCAACAAAAACCCACACGTAGATTAAACATAAAACTAGATTGGAAGGCGGGACAGTACTTACATTTTCTCAAGAACAATGCCCTTGGCATGAGAAGATCCAGCAAAAGGTTTCTTCCATTCATTTCCAAGGTGAGATTTCTTGTATGACTTGTCAGCCCACCTTTGCCTTCTGCGATGGGACTTGAGCTTGCGACCAGCTCCCATACCACGTGTCTTCCTGCAATATGATAAACATAAATCTGAATCCTATTCATAAAAAATAAAAGTATGATCCATAAACAACACAATAAATTCAACATGCAAAATTGAATAAATATGAAGAAACATGTACAATATATAAAATGCATATTTATGTACATTTTAATGGGTGATTTTCAAACATTAATGTGAATCCCATTCATCACACATAAAAGGATGATGATATATAACAATTACCCTTCAAAATTGACCTCAGTAAAAGGAACCATGGTATGTTTCTAATTTAGCAAAAACTTTCCCCGGGCTGAGTTTTGATTTTACAAACCTCTCAATAACTTCTATACCCAATATCGAACACATACGAAGAGGAGACATGTGTAATATTTTTTGCTGTCAACAGGCAAACACTCACGAGCAATTTCTATAACTTACTTCACAAAATTACTTTTTAATCTTCAAAAGTAGCTTTATGAATAACATGGAAACATAGTCATCTAAATTTAAATTGCAGTTTCTATTTTGGAGGATATTTTAACACGAATCCTACAAAGATATTTTCACACAACACCTACAAAGATATTTTAACACTACACCTACAAGGATAGGTACCTTAGAACTTAAAACTGCTATTGATAATTGGAAATGTGGTGTAACATACATAAGACCATTTACGACGCAAACTTTCAGGGTCATCAAATGGATCCAGATCAACAGTATCATTGACAACCAACACCAACAAAACAAAAAGTACAGCTAAAATTATTCAAGATTTCAACACTTAAAGATATTCTCAGCCAATTTCAAATTTCAAGTTATTTGATGCAGATCCTAAAGCTATACACAATGCTCTGTTAAGATCTGTAAGCATAGAATACAAATCTACGATTACGACAGAAACTTTCAGTGTTAACAAAAGCATCCAGATCAACAATAACTTAAATAACCAGCCGAATGAACAAAATTATCCGCAAACAACAATTTATCCAAGCTTAAAACACCTGAGAAATTCCAGGCAAATTTCATAGTTCAAGTACTTCTATTAAAATCGGGAAACCAATAAACAAGGTCTTAGATTCACAGTTTGTATTATTGAGATACATCTCCAGGGAACACATTAGTGCAACAAAATAAATAGCTCTTAATTACCATGATTTACTATTTAATCGACACTGAGTCCCACAATCAATAAGTGTAAACCGAATAATGTGAATAAGTAGGGTTTCTCATCATAAATTTTCCGAAACCAGTTCTCACCGGAAACACATTTCTTCCATACAAATTCAGAGAAGAACAAATCATTTCAAAATAGAAATCGCAGTATCGCACTAATTGCCCTAAAACTCACAGAACCATATTCGGAACTAACTAAATCAACTCGCAACTTCGAAAATTTATATATAAACGAGAGATTTCATTTCAAAATCGAAATCTCAGTATCGAACTAATTGCCCTAAAACCAACACAATCATCACACAGAATCATGTTCGGAAATAACTAAATCAACTCGCAAAATTCGAAAAAAAATCATCTTTAAACGAGAGATTTCGAGAAAATGAAAAGGTTCCACAGTTAAAACATAAGAATAAACATCACATTTATCGGTAAACGCGATGCAGTAACATACCCCATGGCTGCTGAGTTGAGAGCGCGACGGAGTGGAAACTAGGGTTTGCGGAGGACGAGTCGCCGGTCTGTGTAAAAACCCTACTTCACGAGAGATAAATGAAGTATGAAGTTTAGTATTTATACTTGGACTAAGCCCAGATCGAGGAAACTTATTGGGCCTGCAATTGGCCCATCAACAGTTGGGGCTATGACGTAAAATTTAAATGATCCTCTTCTCTCTATGTTATGTTGACTTTAAAATAAATTAATTCTTAATTTATTTAAAATACTTTTAACTTGAAATATTTTTTTCACTCGTATTAATCAATTTTTTTTTTTTTTTTAATTTACATTTTTAATAAATATTATATCTACTGTAGTAAATGAAATTTAATGTTTTTTGTTATCACAAAGTAAATTTAATGTTTTTTTGTTCTCATATTGGTAATTATTAAACTTTCAAGTTGAAGCCATAACCGAATAATAATACCAAGTAAAATAGAAATAGATAGTAACTTACAAAATCAAAGGATTAAATAGTCTTAAAACTAATAATTATAGTCTCAAAATAGAATAACTGAAAATTTTCATCTTCTCTGCACTGCATGAAACTATACAAAATTACTCAACTTCTCTGCACTGCATGAAACTCCGGCCGATACGTACCACACCGAAAATCCCGGCCTGAAAAGAAAAAGACACAAGTACTTAATCAGCCCATAACTATAAAACTCGAAAATTCAAAATTTACGAATTAACAAATCCACAACAAAACAAAACCTGCAACTTTTTTTTCTTCATGTCTACTTCTGCCCTTTCTATCAACAAAACACCAATCTTCTTCAGCATGCTGCCGTTTTTCTTCTTTGGGGGAATCATCGTCCGAATCCTCGGCATACGGTGCACCCAACTTCCCACCAATCGG